CCCAGTTCACCTCAAGAGACTTTGTTGGGGAGCCTCTCCACTTAGACTAAGTCAAATCCTCCACTATGTCCTCTCCTCTCGGCTCTTTTTTCAGAGCTTTCACGGTGACTTCATGGATTTTTGGGACACCCCAGGTGACTGCCTCTTAGTTTCAAGTGTGAGGGCTAACAGCACCAACTCTGAGCCAGATGATGTGACTGAGTGCCTACACTGGCATGTTCTAGTTGTGTGACCTTGGGCAAGTACTTCCCTTCGTGGCATCTTTGTGTTTTCTTACCTCCAGTGAGAGGACAATAGTGTTCCCTAGCTCAGAGGGATGCTGTGGGGATTCAATGACAGATGCTTGTAAAGTGTTTAGAAGGACGTCAGGCCCGTGGTGAGCACCACATAGAGGGTTGCCTTGATAGTTACTTCAAGAATTAAAAACTGCCCGTCTGAGACATGGGGCTACACAAGACAGAGATGCCATCTTTTCTTTCCCCAGCAGCATGAACCTATGTCACTGTGATTTCTCTGCCACAGGATCAGAACTCAGATCATGTGAGGCAGGGGAATCAAAATTAATGTTTTTTTATTACAGATAAAGACTTTAAGACCCAGCGAGGTTAAGGGTTTGGTGGGAAAATCAAATGGTAGTCTCTTTCTACCCGACCTCTCCTATTCCTCCTGCTCCTCCTTCTCCTCTCCCTCTACTCCCACCTTTGAGGTGATAACTGGTGCAATCCAGATCTACATTAAATGAATATTCCATAGCAACTATCTCCACCTGACTACAGGTCCCTGCTCCCCAACCTTTCTACAAAAGACTCAAGAGTTATAAAATCTAAGCTTATCAGAACAAAGCACACCAAATAGAACACAGCAAGGTTTCTAATCAGAGATTGGAGGTGTTTACACAATAACCTAGAGGGAAAAAAAATAGACTTGAGAAAAGGGAGACCAAGAGCAAATAATAACCCAAACGAATTAAGAAAACACTGACGCTGTCTCCTGAAGTTTTCTGCCATTACATCACGGATCCTGAGACAGGGTGCAGGATGTCTGCAGGGCTGCATGGGCAAGAACACATCTCATTCGTTTTAACTCCCTCAAATCCTATTTTACTCTTGGGCACCCTCACAGCCTCTTATGGCTGTTCTTACTCTTTTTCTCCACAGGTTCTTCAAGTTTTTGTAAGTTTACTCTTTGACAACATTGCAGAGATTTATCCCATAGAGTTCCTTGAAATGTAGATCATGGAGAGGACTGTGGTGCCCAGAGGGTGGAATGCCTGTGGCCTCTGACCTCTTGGTCTTATATCCTGGGGAACCAGTTCTGCCTGGGGTCTTACCCCCTAAGGAGTATATGAACAAACTGAAAGGGTGTGACAGTTGTGCAGTCAGGATAAGACACATCTCATTAAAGGGACTCTGAATAGAGAAGACTTGTGGGGAAGCATAAGATCTGTCTTCAACAATTGAAAGAGCTGCTAGGTTTTCAGGTTCCTGCAACATTACAGAATTACCTGATGTGAACTTCAGATCCATGAAAATACTGATAAAATATTGCAAAAAAAAATTTTCAATAAATATAGCTAAGCCCATAGAAATAAATAAAATCTCTAGGTGCCAGAAAAAGAAAGAGGAGGGAACTTAAAGGGAAACTTTTTATTTGCTAGGGTCAAATAAGAAATCCAACTTTTCTTTTTCTAATAAATAAACATATCTTAAGTGTGTCAGGTGATACCTTGATGCTCCAGAGAGATATTGAGCCAGATAGAGGCCCTTATGTCTCGAGCTTGGGACTTTCATGCCATAAAAGTGCAAAAGATGGTGCTTTAGGGTCCTTTGATGGAGATGGGGATGCATCAAGGGGAGACCCTAGAAAGATAGTGGTTTCAATTTAAGCTCCACTCACAGCTCCAGGGAAACCCAAGTGATACATGACTCTTCCCAGAGTTGCATATACAGAAATAAAACTGCCCCTGAGAAACAAAATCAGAAAACAAAATCTATCACCAAACATAAGTGTGTTCCCCAAATTTACACTTTCTACCTGGTATATTTGTCAGGGCTCTCCAGAGAAACAAACAAATGGATATATATATTCCCTATTGTTTCTTATCCTAGATATACTTAGAGCACAGAGCAGCAATGAGCCCAGCTAAAAATACTCATTAGCCAGACTCCCTTGCAGCTGGGTAGCAATGTGTTGCAGTTCTGGTCAATTAAATATAAAAACAGCTTACTAGCAGACTTCCAGGAAGAACACTTTGCACTTTTCTCTTCTTTCTACTTAGAATATGGACAAAATGCTTAGAAAAAGCAGCAGGCACCCTGTGGCCAGGAAGAGAGGATAGGAGAAATAGTTGAGAAAAAGGACCTGGGAGCTTTATCATATCCTCACAGAGGTACACTAACTCTGACTTCTTCACTCTGTCCTGTCATGACTATAAGCCCTTAAAAAGGAGAGAATTTGAATGCAAAACAGTAAAAGAAAAAAAGATGAAATAAAACACTCAGTTAATAGAAAAGAAGAAAGAATAACAGCAAGGAAATGAGATTAAAACAAAAACATTAAGATATTAATATATAGGGGCCTTCCTGGTGGTGCAAGGGGTTAAACGTCAGCACTATGAAGCTATCTACAACTACTGCAGCACGAGTTCCATCCCCAGCTAGGGAGCCATGACTTACATGGCTCAGCAGACCTCTCCTGTCACGTCCGCTGCTCCCCTCAGCAGTGTATTTTGGTCCATCTGCCTGTTCTGCTTCCCACTCTGTCTCTGGTGAATCCTCTCAACCCCCCGCACCTCTGACCTACACCCCAGCTCTTACATGTATAAATAAATAAATATTTTTTTAAATGTATTAATATACACCAATAATAACTGAATTCTAATAATAAATATAAATGAAAAGGACTAAAATTACTTGTTAAAAGATACAAGTGGTAAGGTCAAATAAGAAATCCAATTTGTTGTTTTTTCCTAATAAACATACAGATCTTAAGTGTGTCTACTAGAACACAAAAAAAAAATCGCAAGTAACAAGATTAGAAAATATACCAAGCATGGCGCACAGACCTCTCCTGCCGCCCGCTGCTCCCCTCAGCAGTGTACTTCGTCGGTCTGCCAGTTCTGTTCCCACTCTGGCCCTGGTGAATTCTCTTACCCTCCCGCGCTTCTGACTGTACCCAGTGTTTGTATAAACAAATCTTTAAAAAAAATAAAGAAAAGAAAATATACCAAGCATCATTACCCAAAAGAACAAGTAATGAAGCAATATTAAAGTTAGAAAAAATATTTACAAAATGATAAATAAAAAGAAGAATTCTCCAGGAAAATACAGCAATCCTAAACTTGAATAGACCAAATAACACAGCTTATGCATAAGAAGAAGGAAAGAAAAATTGACAAATTTACCATCAGAGATATTTTTTTTCTGAAAGTAGGCTGACACAAATAAGTGGAAGTTATAGAAGGGAAGGACATTGACTTAATCTAAAAAGGAACTTTTTGAGCAGAGTCCGGCACAAAACAGTTACCAGTAAGCATCTACTGAATGAATGAGTGAAAGAATGATCCAGCAAGGAAATGGATAAAATCACTTCAAAAGTAACTTCCAATTCTAAGATTTAGTGATTCTTGCATGCAGATTCCTCTGTTCTTTGTCCTTACTCCATTCTGAGATCCAGGTTCACCACAAACCCAGAAGACTTGAGGCTGGCACTGAAAGGCAAGGGCTGGGTGAGGCTCACACAGAAGAGTAATCTAGAAGCCTGCAAGTTGGAGGCCAGTTCTGCAAAGAGCTTATAAGGGTTTTCCTGCCACAAAAATTCCACTGGACCAGCAGTAGCCCTGGCCCTGGGCCTGGAGACAGGCATCCATTGGCTTCCCATGGCTAAGCCTTCCAATCAACCACACCTTGTCTGTCTTGCTTGCAAGGGTGGAAAAAGCAAGACTGTAAATAGATTACCCAGTCAGTCAGGTCCATAAACCAAGTTTCCCCACTTACAGGGTGCCAGAACACATAGAAGAAAGGGGGTGAGCTTCCCAGTTCTAGGGATTTCTTAATCAAGGGGGAGGAGGGAGGATCTCTGTATTTGAGGACCCTCCAATCCAAAGGAGAAACTTAGCCTGGTCTTCATGGAGCCTGTTATAGAGCGTCTTGAAGCCTATTTGTGTCACCCTCCCTGCAAATTTCATATCCTAATCCCCAATGTAATAGTATTAGAGGTGGGGGCCTTTGGGAGGTGATTAGGTCATGAGGTTGGAACCCCATGAATGAGATAAAGTATCCTTATAATAGGGAGCTCCTCTACACCCCCTGAAGAAGACAGTCATGTATGAACCTAGAAGCAGGGTCTCATCTGAAAATGAATCTGCTGCACCTTGATCTTGGACGACCCAGCCTCCAGAACTGTGAAAAAGAAATTGCCTTTGTTTATAAGCCACCTACTCTATGGTACTGTGTTATAGCAACCTGGAGGGATTGAGCAACCAGAATAAATGCAAAGTACAGTCCTTTTCAGGAAGAAAATCAAATTTCATAAAGGAGATATGACCCCTGTCCTCAGAGAGCCCTCGTGAGAACCTCCGGTGTCTTTTGCCCTCCCACCCATGCAAGACCAGGGAGGCAGGAGAGGGCGGGCAGGGAATTCCTCTATGGTGATTGGAGACTCTGAGCTCTGCCACCAACAGACTCTTAGGAGACATTCCCACAGCCCTGCTGTCAGAGCCAAGGCCACCTCCCCTTCCCTCCTCCCCTCCATGTTGCTGACCCACTGGAATAAATCCTGAGACCAGAGCCTATTTCTAACACAAGAATGTTGGCCACTTTGTCATGTCCTGCTTTCCCTCTCTCTGTTTTTGTTCCCTTTCCCACCCAGTCTCCCCTCCTCCTCCCCCATTTCCCAAGCTCACCCCTGAGAGACCAGACCCAACAGCCCTCTGGTGATCTTGTTTTACATGAGACATTTCCAAAAAAGACCAAGGAATCCTTTCCAGGAAAATGCCATTTTTAAAATTCAGCTCCAGACACGGCGGCAACATTAGGAAAACAAAGGACTTGGCAGAAAGGTTTTCTGAATCGGGACTTTCTCTCTCAAATACCTTTTCCAAATTGCCTCCAATGGAAACAACTCTGAGGGTCAATTCTAGAGCACCCAGGCAATTTCAGAGAGCGTGGCTTCTGCTTCTTACTGCACCCCAGCCTTTTCTTACCTGCGATCACACACAGGTTCAGGGAAGAGCCTCTCCCAACAGATGGCCAAAGGAAGAGCTGTCTCTGGAGGGTCAGGAGATGCTGCCACTTCCTCCCTTGGCAGGAGGCATCTCAGTCCTTCTTTTGCTACCATCACTCAGCTGTGAGCCCGGGGGACAAACAGTGGCTGGGAGGGAGCTGTCTTCTCTCATCAGCCAGGTTTCCCCTGGGGGCACACACAGTGGTGTTACTCTTTTTGCATGTATCAGGTATAATCATGTCGTTGTCATAGATATAATAATAATGATGACCATGATTTACTCAGCACTTACTATGAGTCTACTACTAACCTATTCTTCATATTTGTTTTGGCTTATTTAATCCTTATAACAACTGTTATGGGCTGAATTGGATCCCCCAAAATTCACACGCTAAAATCCTAATTCCCAGGACATCAGAATGTGACTATATTTGGAGACAGGCCTTTAAAGAGGTGACCAAGTTTAAACAAGGTCTTTAGGGTAGGCCTTATAAGAAGAGGAAATAGGGACACAGACAAGCATGCTCAGAGGAAAGACCACATGAGGACACAGTGAGCAGGCAGCCATCTGTCAAGGAGAGAGGCCTCAGAAGACACCTAGTCTGCTAATCCCTTGATTTTGAACTTCTAGCATTCAGAGCTGTTAGAAAATTAATTTGTTTCTTAAGCCACCCAGTCTATGGTATTTTGTTATGGCAGCCTGAGCAGATTAATAGAACAGCTTATAAAATTAATACAGTTATACAGTTATTATCACCATCTTAGGGAGAATCAAACAGTCTCAAGATGTTATGAAACTTAACACAGCAAGTAAAAGTACCTAAAAGTTTACAGTCAACTGACTCACAATACAAACTTTTAAGAATGTGCCCAGCTGCTTCTTTTCTGTGCCTTACTATAGAAGTGTATGTCATATATACCAAGGCTACAAACAAACCACCTCATGACATCATGATTTAAAACAACAGCAAAATTAATTTACTCATTAGTCAGCAACTTGGGCAGAGCTTGGTGGGAATATTGCCTCTCTGCTCCAGTTGGTTTTGGCCAGGATGATTTCAAGACTAGACCAAGTCATCTGAGTTCCAACTCACTTGACTGGCTGGGAAACTACACTAGTTGTCAGCTGAAACTTTAGTTGGGATTGTTGATCCAAACTGGCCACATGGTCTCCTCATGTGGCCTAAGCTTCCTTCCACCATGGTAACTGGTTCCATAGTGAACGTCCAAAGAGACAGCACTGGACAGAAGCTGTATCTCCCTTTCTAATCTAACCTTAGAAGACATCACTTTCACCACATTCTCTTCTTTACAAGCTAATCACTAAGTCTGGCTCGCTTCAATGCTACCTTTTCATGGGAGGAGTGTTAAAGAATCCAGACATTTTCAAACCACCATGGTGTGTGTGTTTTTAATATGGCTGTCCACATTTTGGGGTACAGTCTTAATTTACCAAAAGCACCACATTGTTGAAAGAACATTGACTTGTGCATCCAAAGCCCAGGGCAAGAGCCTTTCAGTTAGCTGTAGGGAACAGGGTTTCCTAAATCCATGTATGAGCAGAGCAATTCCTGCTTTGGGTTCAGCCATCCTTCTCTGTATGAGACTGAGATTGTTGAACTCATTCCAGTCTCTAAAGCAAACAGTGATCTCCAACAGAAGGAATTTTAGAATTCTGCTCTTCTGACGCTTCATTTGACTCTCAATTATGATGAAATGAGTCCTGCCTTCTCCCTGTACCCAAGTCACTGTCTTGAAATATATGGAATACTTCCTCAGTGCCATTAGCACTTTATGTTTGATATTTTATTTACTTATCATATCAACCCTGTGGAACAGGTATTATTATTATCCCCATTTTATAGCTGAAGAAACTGGAGCTTAGAGGAGATTAGGAACTTTCTTAAAAGTTAATAAAGAGCAGAACCAGGACTACAGAATATGTCCTGGGCAGCTCCATTTCCTTCAGGTTCTGGTGTCTTGCTCCAGGGCCCTGCCCAAAATTGGGGACCTGTTACCTCATGAAAGCCTTTCTGCACAGCCCAGCTGCCTGCCACCACCTCTGATAGCTCTGGATTGTCCATCTCTCTGCTCCACTCACCTTTCAGGACTACGCTTCCTGTTAAAACTTCTGCTTGTGCCCATTTTGAACTGCTCAGGGAACTCCTCCATTTGGGCAGCCACCACACTGTGTTCATCCTCCTGATCCATGTTCTAGCCTTTCAGGTCTATGCCCAGCCATCATGGACAGTGCCTTAGCAGGTCTAGAAAATATGCAAGACTAAGTAAGACAGCACAGTGAATGGAAAAAAGCAGAGGCCCCAAAATCAGACCAATCTAGATCCAAATCCTGACTCCACCATTTATTATTTGTGTGTAAAAATAATGAGGCCCACATTGATTCATGTGAGAATTCTGGATGAGTAAATACACGTACAGGGCTTGGCACAGTGCCTTGTACTTAGTAAATGCTTAATAAATATTAGTTATCTTCACTGTTGTTATCAATAATATTTGTAAAAGAGCCACTAGAAAGCCTAGCATATGGTAGGCATTCAAAAATGATAGCTGTTAATCTCGTTGTTTAAGTCCTGGAAAAGCTATAGGAATTCAGAGAAGGGCCAGATAACAAGGTAGCGGAGACAGAAAACAGACTGCCCGAGCAACTGTGCAGATCTGCAGATCTCTGCCTTGGCCTAGAGCGTCGATGTGACTGGCCTTGATTAAGTGGAAACGCCTCCCTACAGAACTCCCATCTTCATCTGCCTCAATTAGGAGATGACAAGAGCTTCCTGAGCTTGGACACCCCTGGGAAAAGGAATTTCAAGGAAGAAAATCAGAAACACCCTTTGTGCTCCTGCCCAGCATCCCTCACTGTGGTAGCACAAGCCACTGTCTACCGCCACATCCTGCCCAGCTCACCCCATTGTCCTTCTTCTGGCTTCAGAGGCTTCATCTGAGGCTGTAAGTTCTCAGCAAACTGGTGAACATGGTCAAAATATATAAGTGTCCCAACCTAAGCCCATCCCAGGTTGAGCTGCTAACGAGAACAGCAAGCAGGTAGACAGAAAGAAACCATCTGATTTATAAGACATGAGCCATCACACACCATCATACACCCTTTGAGCATTTGTGAACTGTTGCTGTACTGGTGGTGTACTCTCCTGTCCTATTTTTCCTGTTACCATTTTTTTAAGATCCTCACAGCTGCATCCACCAATGTTTGCTGCTCTCGAGTCAATGCTAACCAGGCTGGGGGTATATAAAGTTTGAGCAGACTCTACAGCTTAGAACAATGTCACCAGCTCAGTTAAAACTGCTTGACTCCTGTGTTCCTCCTGATTTTCCTTCAAAACAGATGATCAATGAGGTGACAGGTATTTCCCCCAGACCGCTCTCATTTTCCTCTTCCAATCAGGCATGGATCTGGTGCCCTCTGCTATGACCTCTGTGAGTCCACATTACCGCTCATGTTGCCTCTGAGTCTACACTCTCCCCTCCCTGCTTTGGGCTTGGCCTACTCTGATACAATCAGACTTCTTCTGCCTGGACTCCTAGTCCCCAATTTTACCTAGAATCCAGTTCTCCCCCATATTAATCAGCTATCGCTATTGTTAGGTAATAAATAATCCCCAAATTCTAGTGGCTTATAAAAACAAACATTTATTTTTCTCTCACAGTCTGTGGATTGCTTAGAATCACTCTGATTTAGAACATGGGTCATGTCCACACCAGTCTCATATGTCATTTTAGGACCAACAGCTACCTGGGGTAGACTCTTCTCATTATGGATAAAAGAAGCACAAGAAAGAGCTAGTAGAACCTTCCTATAATCTAAGGTCTCAACTCAGAACTGGCCATTGTCAGGTCTATCCATATTCTATTGGCCAAAGCAAGTCAGCTGGCTAAGCCCAAAGTCAACTGGATTGGAATACATGGGTCACCTATTCTAGTAGGGTATATGCAAAGTGATATGGCAAAGGGCATGGACATATAATCTATCCTAAGGAGAGAGTGAAGAATTGGTAATAATTGTCCAATATCTAACATTTCTTAAATCAGAACCCTGTTGTGAGTTCACCTGAGGGAATTTCCATCTTCTGCTTCCCTGCCAAACTCCTCACCCTTTACCTCAGCTCCGACTTAGGGATGGCTCTCTGCGAACAGATCTTTCACATGGAAACCCCTGCCCATTTCACTGCCAGCCAATTGTTGTCATTTGTGTCACTTGCTCTGACTTAACTACCCAATTGTTTCTCTGGAATTATTAGAGAAGCCTACCAGCTTATTTAGTGCCACAATGCTTAGTAATAGCTTGGCTTCAGAAAGTGTTCATATCATTCTCTATCACTGAGCTGGAGGTCAGTAGTCATTGGGAAACTAGAAAACTATTGGGGAACTAAGGCAGTTTCTGCACATCTGCCTCTTTTTTCTCTCTGGACACTAGTTTTCTCTGCTCCTTCATGGACCTAGTAGAAGAGGGTGTACTCCAGTACTGGGACTACAGGAGCTCCCACTTTTTTAGCACCATAACCCAGAGTCTAATTTCCAAAATCTTAGAGAAAGACCCCAATCATAACCAGGATCATGTAGCACAAACAAGGCTGTCCATCCTTCTAGAGAAAAGAAATAAGGGTTGTGAGATGCTAGATACTAAAAAAAAAAAAAAAAAAAAAAAAGTCTAGACCTCACACTGGAATCCTCTGGGCTGACTTCAGTCAGGAGATCTGTTTTGTTTGACCCTCAGTGTTTGAAAATGTTTTTAATGACAAAATTTTAATTACAAAATTGACAACATTTAGAAATTGAAAGTTTACATAGGAATCCAGATTTTTTTCTTAAAAAATTCAAAGATCTAAACTGGAAAGAAATATGAGGGTGCCCTGTAAGGACTGATATTGTTCTGCTTCTTGATCTATTTCATGTTCTATTTGTGAAAAATTCATCAAATTCTATGCTTAAAATGTAACCACTTTTAATATGTATGCTACATCTTTTTTAAGATTTAAAATTTTAGGGAAAAAATTAGAAGATCTAGCAAAACCAGAATCAGCAAGGGATGAGTACACTGGAGCTGGGCAGTTTTCCATTTTGTTATACTCCCCACCATGCCCCATTCTCTTCCTATCACTGAGATGGAGATCAGTAGTCATTTATCATCACTTGGACTATGTTTTTCTTATTATAGAGTTAAGAAGAAAGTAAATTTTTCTTTCATATCCATAACTCCATCAAAAGGCAGAAACAAAAGAGCACTAGAAAGGGCTATGTGTTTGCAAGGGGAAAAAAATGGAAAATAGCCCTTTTTTTCCTTTGCAGAAGTTTTACTTTTAAGCACAAACAAAACAAGTGATGCAACTGTGAAATGGAGTTATAGAGAGAATACAGCTCAGCCATTGAAACCTTTCATGAATGGTGAGTTTGTAACCGAGTATCTACTGAGGACAGAGAAATTCATGCCCTGAACAAAAGCAAGTATTTGCAAATGGAAGACTAAACAGAAATACCATGGTGCAGCCACATGACGACATGGCTGAGAACTTACAGGACAGGTTGTGTGAAAAAGTTCAATCATTTGTGGCATTTCCTAGTGAAGCTTATGAAAGCCCAGTTAAAATAATACCACCCAGTCAGCTATATTTATTTATGGTTCCAAAGAGACTTCGATGTGATTGGAGAAATTTAGAGCATGGTGTCCATCACAGGCACAACTGCAGGAAATGGCTTAGCTTTGTGTGTTGAGAGTTTTGAAAAATTTAAAGCAGAGAGGTCACCTGCCTGTGTGATAGAGTACAGGTGATGGTCACCATTAAACTTGACCTTGTTATCAAACTTAAATCCAAAGTAGGCAAATTTTGCACAATCACAGAAACAAGTAATTCACAGGAATTGCCTTGTGTTGATATGCTAAAATAGAACATGCTGTGAGTCTAGTGAATTGGATTCATTTCCACAGCTAAAAACACAGAGAATTTAATATTTTGCTTTATGCATTGGATCTACAACAGTCATAACATTTATCTGTTCTAATAAACAAGGGTAGTTGGTATATAATGTTGGGGTCTTTTATTTGAAAACAGGAAGAACAGTTGAAATATTATAAATTTGTTCATATCATTTGATGAAAAATATTCCACTCCTACTCACTGCAGATTGGTATCAAATTATTGACCTTTTCAGTAAATATCACAAGCCATCTGACCCATTTGGCACCTCTCTGCAAGAACCTTCACAAGTACACAAATAGGCGATTGAATTTGTTCATTCTTAGTAAAATTGTATCTTCAGGAAACTCATTTAGCAAAGAGTAATCTGGCCCACTTTCCTATGCTGAAATCAATTTTCAGAAATGAAAGAGATCACTTAAACTGCTCTCCCAAAATTGTGGGTTTGAAGACAGGATTAAAAAAAAAAAGAGTCTAATTTAATGAAAATAAATGCTATTATTCAACTCAGCTTTCTTAATTAATATTGAGCCAAAACCAAAATTTTTTGAAGTATAACTTAGTCCCTAAAACCAAATTTTGCAACATTTAGCACGTCAGAATTCTACAAATATCTCAGGAATAGTTACCCTAAATATGAAAAACTATCATACAAAGATTCTATCCATGTTCAGCCATGAACAGCTGTTTTCCATTATGAAACTAAATAAAATTATTACTCTCAGTTAAAGGATTCAAGGCTGACTTCCATACAGCCCATCACAACATGAAATGTAAGACCCGACACTGACATGTTGGGGCAAAAGAAATCGTGTCACGTTTCTAGTTCTGAAGCAAAGAAATAATGAGTTATTAAGGAAAAAAATTAATAATTAGATATTTCTATTTTTTCAAATCTTATATTTTTCAATTTTGAACTTAACATACAATCTCTAATATCACACATTTGTTATGTTTTGTGCTTATGCCGCAGTTGAATAAAAATGAAAGAAAGTTTGATTACATTTCTGGCAGTTGATTTTTCTGACATTTAGCCCACTTTATTCATTTGTAGTTCTGGATTCTGTAGGAATCTGAAATTGCAACCTCTGATGTATACTTTATATTTTTCCCTACATTTTCATCATTGAATAATGGTGAGACAGTTAAACAATTAACCCAAGCTCACATGTTCAATGGTGAAAATAGAAAATCCTAAACAAAAAAGTAACTTGCTTATTTCACCACAAAGAGAGTGCTTACAACAAACACAAACTCATGCATTTATAGGAAATATAGTTTTAATGTATTTTTCATAAAAAATGGAAACATACCACACA